TGGAAAACCTCGTTTATCTGCCTCTAGTAATCGCTGAATAAGTGTTTCCTCTTCAATAGCCTTTAATCTATGGCCATTAGCACGTGTTTCTGCGCGTGGTTGTCTTCCTTTAAGGCGAGCGCGAAGGGTAGCCTCAGGCACCCCAAAAATCTCTGCAGCCTTCAGTATTGATTTGACTTTTTGATTTTTATAAGCTGCAATAGCCATTTGAATTCGGTTTTCTTGAGATAAAGGCATTTTTGATAGTGGTGGTGATAAAATGACGCGTTGAAAAAAGGAAGTGGTAGGGTGGAGGAAAATTCGTCGCTCGGTGGTATTCGTCGCTCGGTGGTTGATTACGTTAATATATGCGCTTATGTAAGACATTTGTGAGCATCCCGCCCTGCGCCAAGACTCTACTTGATTCTGGCGTCATCGAGACTTACAAGCCAAAATGCCATCATGAATGCTGCAAAGATAAATTGGCAAGAAAAGCTTTCTGTGGGTTCCGCAGTATTCAAGAGAATTCGGTGGTTTCTCGTGTAAGAAATCAGAGGTCTCGTCTCTATAACCCTCACGTGACCGGGGTAATCTACAATGCAGTTACTGGCAAAATACACATTACGTTGGAAAACAAATCACCGATAATTCATCAAGGCTGATATACATTTGACGGTAGCGGAATCAATATCCAAAACGCCGCGTATCCTAGCCAAATAACGCCCTCAGAACGCCCTGATTGTATAACAACAGGATGACCACCAGTGCCAGCCGTCATTCCAATATGCTGCAGACCATCATTCAATCGCCCAAGCAAAAAATATCCTCGACACTCCATAGACCCTTTTCACCCTCGCCTTTTGGAGGGAGTTCTCGACATCCACCGATATCTGCACTGAACGTCCTTGCGTATTCCCGGGCTTCGCGTTCAGCTTCCTGGTTGGATAGCTTCTCCCCATTGTAGGACAAAAGCGGCAGAGAACTCAGGTCCGGAAGGTGCTGCGGGAGCTTATGCAGGAGAGTGGTCAGAGTGGACGCTTGAGACAAAGGCCGCTCAATGGAACCAAGTTCCAAGACTGTGTCCTCGGTAAGTTTCTGCTCTATATCGTTAAGAGCGGCGTCGTTTTGTTCGGAGTCTTGCGAATCGTGAAAGATAAACTCCTCTGGAGGCTGGTAAAGATCATTATGAACCGTTACCAGAGAGAAGGCCTGCGTGGCTGGAAAGGACGGGTAGAGCATATAATATCCTCGGGCTCGAATCAACTCCAGCAGATTTTCCATAAACGCCGGGAATTTCTTCGAAATCATTTTCGTCCGCGACACGTCATCTGAAGAGCGGCGGGCCATGAGACGATTTGACAGAAACGAATAAAATTCGGCCCACTTATCCCCAAAATACAATGCTGCATTACTGTTTGGCATTTGCCAGCGGAAAAAGGGTATATCAGAGGATGAAGAAGGCACGATCAATGGGCCGCTTTCAGCAGTAGGTTTCGAAGATGGCAGCTCGAGGGAGATGCCAAGTAGTTGAGAAGATTCGTTCACGGCATGGGTCGAGTATCGGTACTTCAAAATGGTATATTTCAGATAATGGAAAAAGGATGGGGATAGCTCCGTCTGCGGAGAGAGAACGAGCACGTGGTTCATGCTTGGATCCCTAGGGTAGAAGGATTCGACTGTTCGGACAGAGGATTCTTCTGGCGTTATGCGATGAGGTTGGACATGGCGACGAAGCCTTATGCTTTCTGAGGACCGGCTTGGCCAATGCATACTCTTAAGGAAATCAAGTAAAAGTGGATCTGTACGGGGCGGCAATTCAATGGTCAAAGCGGGAGTAGAACCCAAGTAGTCAGCCTTCTCGAGAGACTTCAGCAGTCTAATTAGAGACCCAGAAGACTCCGATGGCGCATGAACGAGCATTTCAACATGAACTTTATCCCAAGCTACGACCAAGGTGTTAGCGACTTGAAATTTACAGAAAGACCAACAGAGACAGATGATTGCAGGTCGCGTACCTTTGAGAGAATTGCTGTCTAGGTTAGATATCCACATAAGATCTCTAGCTCTGACGGAAAGGGCAATGAGAGACATTCCTCTCTGTTCTGTCTTTTGCTTGACACCTTTCCAGAAAAAAGAGTCGTCCCGAGACCCGTCATGGGCTATGACGACCTTCGGATTCAAAAATGCTCTCATGTAGTCCAAGCCTGCCATAACAGAAACCTCCATTCGGATATCCGTAGACCACGTCGCATAATCTGGGCGGCTGTCTAGAATAACGAAGGATGTCAGAATCAATGGCCGTCTGTTAGGGGAAGAGAGCGGAACTCACCATGCCAATACAGCGGACAGTTCTCGTCGCTAATGCCATTCACGCGTTGTATACCCTCGATCGACACCTCATCCCGTCCCATCAATGCAAAATGAACCGTATTTATCCGTTGGCGAGCCATCTCGCAGGCCAGAGGTATGAGGTCTGCAACGCTTTGTAGGTCGGAAGCCGCGAAGAGCACCCCGCTATTATCTTCCGGATGGCGCAACGACTGTCGCGCACGGTAAAGAGACTGCGCGAGATGAGGGTATCTGACCGGCCCATTGTAATAGTATTTCTCCGCATCACTCACTGCGTCCTTGTCTCTCGGTGGTGGGCGCCCAGCCGACCCTGGAGATTGGGTGGACCAGCCGCTCTGTCCAGTCGCGAATCGAGGGTCATATCGCTCTATGGCGGGTGGGAGGTCGGTTGGCATATGCTTGAAGAAAAGATACAGCAGGTAGACGCCAATGAGGATTAGCAATAATCGCCGCCGTCGAGGGAATCTCCATGTTGGAAGAGATGGAGCTTTCACCCGGCCAGGAACAGGTCGGCGATCGTCGTCTTTCTTCCCAAGCTCCTCGTCGGCAACGAAGGCTCTCCTAGAGAGAGGCATCGTTGGCGCATATGCAACTCTGCTCCTTTGGAGCTTTGGGGATCATATCATTAGCATCGCAGGAGCGATTGAAACAAAATGACTTGTCATGCCGCGGTGCTGAAGCGGCAGCCGACGCATCGCGTATGCTTGCGGAGAGCTGCGCAGCTAATCAAACTGTCTTCCCGAAGCCGCGGCGCCACGGGACGTCAGCAACATTCTTGGGTCCACCGGCTGCTCGAAAAATAATCTAATCTCCTATTGTCCAGAGATACAGAAACAGCTTCCGTCAGTCACGGAACAGTCCGAAGCAAAGAAGGAGTAATCTTAAACCGGGTGGGGCTTCATTCTGGGTTCCTAAAGTGACTACTGCCCGGTCCAAGGCGGCATGTCGTCTCCATCATTCTCCATAGTCAGAAACACGCCATATTAAGCAGAAATCATCTTTTGCTAGCCATGGATGATGAGATGGAGATAGAGAACACGGAGCCACGTGGAACCAAGCGCTCAGCAGCTGAAGCTGAGCTGCCTTCTGGACCTCCCCGAAGAATCCAGGTTAGTAACTTCAAGAACATCTCGAGACTTGTTCCTGGTTCTAAAACAGCCAGGCGCTCGATCCAGATGTTGTCAATAAAATCGCCGCCGGGGAGATTATCGTGGCTCCCATGCATGCGCTGAAGGAGCTAATCGAGAACTCGGTGGATGCAGGGTCCACGTCGATTGAGATCTTAGTCAAAGACGGCGGCCTTAAGCTCCTCCAGATTACGGACAACGGACATGGGATAGATGTGAGTTTTCTTCATCGTATATGAGAGCTGGAAGCTGACTGTAAACGTAGCCGGATGATCTCCCTATCCTCTGCGAAAGGTTCACAACATCGAAATTGAGGTCCTTCGAGGACCTCTCTTCCATTGGCACATATGGATTCCGCGGTGAGGCGCTGGCAAGCATCAGTCACATTGCCCATCTCACTGTCACCACGAAGACTGCCAATTCAAGCTGTGCTTGGAGGGCACACTACAGTGATGGGAAGCTTGTTCCAGCCAAGCCTGGCCAAAGTGCGAAACCCAAGCCTACCGCTGGACGCGGGGGCACTCAGATAACTGTAAGTCACCGGCCCCAGAATAACGCTGTCTGACACCTGATTGACCCAAAGGAGGTCGAGGATCTATTCTACAATGTCCCGACTCGCCGGCGAGCATTTAGATCGGCTAGCGAAGAGTACGCCAAGATCCTGGACGTGGTTGGCCGCTACGCTGTTCATTGCTCGGGAGTAGCATTTTCGTGCAAAAAGCATGGCGACTCCGGAGTCAGCATCTCCACGGCGGCAAACACAAGTACTATAGACCGGATTCGTCAAATCCATGGCAGTGCCGTGGCCAACGAACTGATAGAGTTCAGCGTCGAGGACAAAAAGAAATTGGGTTTTAAGGCCTCCGGCTATGTCACCAACGCGAACTACCATGTCAAACGAACAGTGATCCTCCTGTTCATCAACCACCGTTCTGTTGAGTCTTCTGCTCTCCGGAAGGCCGTCGAACAGACGTATTCGACCTTTCTTCCGAAAGGGGGCCATCCTTTCGCCTACATTGACCTGGAAATCGAGCCGCAGCGGGTGGATGTCAACGTCCATCCTACAAAACGCGAGGTGAACTTTCTCAATGAAGACGAAATTATCGAGTTGATCTGCAGCGAGATCCGGTCGAAGCTGGCGCAGGTGGACTCCAGTCGGACTTTCATGACCCAGACTCTGCTCCCAGGAGTCAGGGCTCCTGAGGCTGCGGCTCAGGATACAACAGCTTCGAGTACTACCTTACAAGCGGAGAAAGCAGGTCGTCGAGCAGCTACAGCGTCTCAGAAGCCGTATGAGCATAATCTAGTCCGCACGGACTCGAGAATGCGTAAGATCACATCGATGCTACCATCTGCGACCCCCCCGGGCCAAGGCCGGACAGATGGCGACGACTCTGCTGCAGCAGACGATGGGATGCACTACGAGACTACTGACCGCGAACCTATTCGAATTGCCCTAACGTCTGTGAAAAATCTTCGCGCTGCTGTCCGCGCGGCCATGCACAATGGATTGACCGAAATGTTTGCCACGCATACATACGTTGGTCTTGTCGACGAGCGGCGCAGGATCGCAGCTATCCAGTCAGGAGTGAAACTGTATCTCGTCGACTATGGAATGATATGCAATGAGTTCTTCTACCAGGTGGGGCTCACAGACTTTGGCAATTTCGGAGTCATCAAGCTGGACCCGGCACCGAAACTTATCGATCTGCTCAAAATCGCCGCAGAGGCGGAGCGAGAAGAATACGCGCTTCGACAGGGACCTGATAGTGAGGACATCTTCGACCAGGCTCCGGAGATGGTTGCAAAGACGCTCATCGATCGGCGTGAAATGTTGGATGAGTACTTTTCCCTCCAGATCTCCGAAGACGGAGACCTCCTTTCGATCCCGCTCATGCTGAAGGGGTACGTCCCATCGCTGGCGAAGCTGCCGCGGTTTTTGCTCCGGCTGGGACCGTACGTCAACTGGAAAACCGAGGAGGAGTGCTTCCGCACCTTCTTGCGGGAACTCGCTGCATTCTACACTCCTGAGCAGCTTCCAACCCCTCGTCGGAAGCAATCAGCCGAAGGAAATTCGGACCTGCAGACGACGGACGCTGCAAAAGAAATCCAAACAACAGCGGCAACAGTGCCCTCTCCCAGCCCTGGATCCAGGGTGGAAGACGAAGACGAGACGATCACAACCCGCCGGAACCAGCTGTCCCGGATGCTGGAACACGTCATCTTCCCAGCTCTCCGGGCACGACTGGTCGCGACGGGGTCCCTCCTGAACGGCGTGGTTGAAGTGGCAGATCTGAAAGGTCTGTATCGGGTTTTTGAGCGATGTTAAATCATCCGTCAGTGTTCCAATCAACCAGACTCGTGTAGGATTGAAAGCGGGAACGGGAACAGGACTGCCTGTGATAGGAAACCAGGTTTGTATTATTGGCGTCTATTTCTTTTTTTTGTTTTTTACACCTGTTCTAGATTGTATTTATTTATTACCCGTAATCTTTAACGTTTCCAAGTCTGATTGTGTGACCGTATAGATTATATTGATATGATATACAAGTGCAGGGCATTCATTAATGGAAAAAAAAGGAACTTGATACAGTACAATAATAGAACAGAATATCGTATCTTTCTCGCTATGTAACACCTTATCAACGCAAATAAATAGTCGAACTATAAAAAAAAATAAACACATGACCGAAGAAACTTCGCATTGTTATCAAATAAAACAAGCCTAAATAAATTAAAACAAAAAATTTTTTTTAAAAAAAAAGGCTAAGCAGACCCGATCAAGAACAAAAAAAAAAGAAGAGAAGCTAGACTAGATAGACAGACCGGACCGGACCAGACCAGAACAAACCAGACGCCAGAAAGAACAAAAAAAAATAAGAAAAAAACAAGAAAACTTTCAATCGAATCAAATCAAATCAATCAATCAAACATCGAAACCCAGGTTATTCATCCATCCATCCATACATTCATTTCATGATTCGTCCATTGTTCAAATCACATCCAACCCATTCAATTCAATTCATTATCATCATTAACATGATTCATTCCGCGTGAGAGATTGCATCCATCCATCCATCCAGATCATACCATACTATGCCATACCATACAAAACCATACAAAACCATACCCGATTGTTTGCTTGCGTGTTTGCCGGCTTGCTTGCTTCAGGTAACTGAGAAAGAAATTGCATGCAAGAGGGTTCATGATGATGACGAGGTTGAGGGCAGTATTATGTATAGATCGATGCCGTACGTCACAAAAGTTCGTCCCTCAAGAAAAAAAAGATTATCCGATCATTTGATCATCAGGACAAAACAGGCTGATGCCTGCTGCCTGCTGCTGGAAAATTGGCCGGCCTCGCTACTGCCTCGAATACGGCCTGTTCATCAAGGCGATTTCCCGCGCGATGGTAGCCCATTCGAGCTCTCGTCTCAGTGGCTGCTTCCGTTTTTCCAACTGCAGTTCTTCCCATTTTAGAAGTTCATACCTGCATGCTCTCGTCAGTTTTGTTAACAGAGAAACGAGTAGAGAAAAAAGAACTGCATACACAAAGCGAAGATGTGGCTGAATAATCACATTGAGCCGTCTAGCGCGAACAAAACAACTGTTTCATTGTGAGTCAAGCTGAGCTGAAGAAATTAACACTGCCGTTAACTTACTATGCTCTTGGAAATGAAAGTCCCAGAGATGCCATAACTTCCGCAATACATATGGTTGCCGACCTCGAAACGCCAACTCGACAGTGTACTAAAGTTGCCAATCCATCCGTTTTTCCTTTCTCTGTCGTGAAATTGTGGATTAGTCATGACCTAATTCAAGCAAAAAAAAAAGGCCAAAACCCACCAATGAATCCCAAACATCTATCAAACTCCTGTGTCAAAGGATCTATCCCGTTATCCTGAACTTGGTCGATGAACATCAAATTCTCCTCTCCCCATTTCTTGACTTCAGCGTCTGTCCACGACACCGGCTCTCCAATGCTGAGGATTCGCCTGATGCCCAGAGCCCACAAGAGCTCCGGGTTGTTGGCGTGCGCCAGATTGCCCAGGTACATGTAGGGCAGGATCCGACTGGGGAGAGACCCGTCCATCCTGTCGATCCAAGCTGGCTCGGATATGCGAGACAGATTCAGACCCTGTGCAGCCGGACTCGCATGGAGTAATCGGTCCTGAATGGTCCGCAAGAAGGTAACATCTGAAGGATAAGCGAAGAAGTTGCGCCCTTTCTCACAGTGAAGCCTGAGCCAGGCTTCGTGGACAGGAACTCCCTCGGCAAAGACAAAATATGCGACCGCCAAAAGTGAACTCTCCGTATAACCATCAGCACAGTGAATCAGAATCTTACGAGGGGGTTTCTGCGACACCATCGGAGTGTCGCCGTCGGCATCCACATCCGAATCGACCTCTTCAGGATTCGCAAGATAGTATATCCAGCGGACCGTATTGACAAAATCATCCACATCTCGACTCCGGTCAGACGGTAGTACGATACTTCCCGAAGACGGAAATTGTATCATCAGCCGCTGATGGGGGTTACTCTCAAGCTGCTGGTTGATCTGATCCAAGACCCGAGGGCCAGGAATACTGGCCAGATCACTGGCTTCGATCAATACGTCAAAATCTTCGGCCTCGATCTGTTCACTCTCTCCTGGCGTCAGAAGGACGTCCGGACTCGGGCCCAGCCACACGTTGTTTGAGATTTCCGATGCTTTCGACATGTTACACATTTCAATCCGTTCCCATTGGACTGAAGCCTGTCAGATTTTCCTTCTCCAGCAGAAACACATTGAACTTACAGAAATCCATCACATTGCCCGTGACCCGTCCCTCAGAATCCACAGATACAAGGTGAGGATATTCTTTCTCGATATCTTGAAAGGAGCCTGTCTTGGGTCAGCTATGTCTGGAGAAGAAGCGACAAGCGGAACTCACTTGAGAGCACAAAGGTATTAAACAGAGGAGTCTCTTGAGCTGGTTCATGCACTTTCCTCCAGTTTGCCTGTGCTCTAGCCAACTTCTCCGCTGCGAGCAGCAGCTGGGACTTGTCAACACCGTCTCCGTAGACAACAATATCGGACAGGGGAGCCAGCTTCGCGGTCTGAATCTGGAAATTGCGAACTGAAAATCCATCGGGAGGATCGGCTTCGACGAATGTAGAGCCCGAAGGCGCCAGCACCTCGTCTAGTAAAACGGCGCCCTTGAGGCGTGATCTCGTCAAGTCACCGTTGAGGCTGATAATGGTGATGGCTCGCAAGCACTTTGGAGTCCGTCGCAGAGACCGTTTTCGATTGACGAAGAAAGCCAGCTGCATGGCATTTTCGGGATGGAGCCCATGAAGCCAGGGGAAGACTTGGTTGGGCTCCGGCAACGGCTGCGTCGCCAAATGATCGAGAGCAGCAGAAAGTGTGGCGGCATCAATCTCATATACCGGGGGAGACTTGGATAACTTGGTGAAGCGCTCCGGTGGATATAGTAACGATGATAGCGAGTTGCGGGAGGCTTTTGCCGAGGATTCTCGTTGCGAGGCTGAGCCTGAAGGACAGGCAGGGAGATGCTTATTGGGGATCGGGGTTGGAGTCTGAGAGCGAGCATTCAGACTCAATGCCGGGGATACGGGAGGGGGAGTGGAGGAGTGTCGAACCGATTGTTGCTGGACAACAACGGTCGCCATTGCCGTGGGATCTTGTGGTCAGGTGTGCACTTTCTCCTCTTGGCGAATTGCAGCAACTATTGTCCGGCCTTGTGCAGGTTGCAATGAGGCCAGTTGCTCACGTGCAGAGGAGCAGAGAGGCAGTGCGATCACATCCTCTGCAGCACCTGCATAGAAATAGGGCACGATAAAAACAGAGAGACGTCTACTATCAAGCAAGGCTTTCTCTGCTCCTAGAAGTGATTTCTTGTGTCAGCAACAGTTGTGACAGAAATGCTAGATTCCCCCCGGCGGAGGTGTGCATATGTGATAACGGCATATTACTGGTATCTGAGAGATGAGTGGAAGCAACCTACCTGGAATTGACGACCTTGGTATCAATAATCTCTTGATCTCTTTTGGACAGAGAAACTGCGCGACAAAAGGGACAGGAGGCTCGGCAATAACAATGGGACAAGAATGCTGATGCGCGCAGCTGTTCCGGCGGGGGTGGATGCGGTGACGGGTCCACGTCCCGGCGCGTGCACGACTAACTAGTAGCAACTAAGTCTGTGGAGAGCGATAAGGCGTCGAAGCAGCAGATAAGGAGCCACCTTGGCCAGAAAGGGGGTAAAGAAGAAGGATAACAGACTGGTTAAGGAGAGTCAATGGGATACAAAGGACGGCAGATAAGGAGAGCGGCAAGACAGGGCTCTGGCTTTGATGTCGCGGGAGGGCTGAGAGAGGGGTTGGCTACGAGTGGCTGTCACGCATGTCCACAAGCCAACAACAGGGCCTGGACAAGCAATGCAATCACTGCTGTCACGCATGCTGGCCTACAACTGCGAGCATGGCCATGGCTCTGGCCATCTGGTCCTGCATGGGCCACTGGGTCCTACGACATTCCATCCTGTACATTTGCTACATTTGCTACATTTGCTCTCTGGTTTGCCCTGTACATCAACAGGAGTCATGCTGCCCTACTGCCTGATGGAGGACGATCTTGAGATAGGAGAAGCAGCAGCAACCAGCGTCACGCAAGCCGCGCATCCTGCCGCGCCGACCCCGCGCGTGCGCCCAATAGGGACTAGCGCAGGGAAGACAGCAGTGCTAGCGTCCAGCCAGTGGAGCTTGCGCCCGCTTGCTGCTCTGCCAAGTGTATCGGTGACGTTTAAAATGAGCGTGTGGATATCACAACACAGTCACTCAGTTCAATCTAGTGGAAATTCTCTAGAAACTAGATAACTGATAGTGACGGGCTTACATATTATTATTCTTGCAAGTCGTCATGTTCAAACGAGAATAAAAACTAAGCAATAAGTTCTTCGTGTAGGCAGTTCCCAAAGACACGCAACCTTCAACGTGTGGATGCATGCGCCGCTGACAGCTTACATTATCACATAGGAGGGGGCTCCTCTCGCGAACCCCGGATTCGGCATCCGTGTTCCCACCCGCCTACGGTCTACCTAACGTGTTCGCAAAATGCTTCCCTACCCAGACAAGAGACTTTGGACGAAGACGTCATCGTCGAGCTTGTAGCACAAGGTGAAATAATCCTCGCCATTTAATATTGTTGTTTGCTGCCAGAAAGTTCGATTTGTTATTTTGCGACGGATCAGTTATTATTGATTGTAGTCTTATTTGTCGATAATTAATTAAAGGACTTTACTAGTCAAGGGTCAAGGTGCATGGAGCTTGAGTTATATGGAGTATCTTAATTTTTCTTTCCTTTTTATATTTTTTTTTAATTTTTACCCTTTTTTTTGGCTGTTATTGTTGTCCCTAGGAATAATGCCATTATTTGCAAGACCCGTTGAATGGGCCATGTAAATAAATTTATTAATACCTGCAGGTGGTCTCGTTTGAAGCACTGCATGGCGAGTGTGCACCATGGAAATTTCAGACGTCACACAGCGAGCTGGTTGAAACACAGAGACTCGGGACCGTAGGGTACACCTACGCTGTGTCTCGACAGCGTTTCGTGTGAGGGCATCTATCCCATTGTTCGAAAGCACCAGCGCATCACCACCATCTGGCATCATCAGACTTCCTGCGGTCTGCAGTCGCGGAACGAGCAGGTGGGTCGCGAGGGGATCCAAGCTCCGACCAACCCCGCAGCTTGCAGTTCCCTTGCCGGAGAACGGTTAGTAGAGACACATGCCAAGGCGGGGCTCGGTTAGGTAGAACCCCCATTAGATAATCCACATCAAGGTTAGTTATCAACAACGCTGGAGCAACATGTACAGTACTTTTTGGAAGAGGCTGGGCTTGTCACCCGTACGCCTTTTCTCGCAACTCATCTGCCAACCTCAACAGATAAAACCGAGCCATGTCAGGCGGAAGGCCCTCGAACGAGCGTGCGATCTTCGCCACGTCGTTGCGGCCTTTCTCATACGCCTGCAGGTCCCGGTTGGCATACACGTCTCGACCAGCCGCATACCCCTTGGACAGGTTGCGGAAGAAGACATTCACAGCAATGCTCACGCCCCCCACCGGAGCTGTCGTATGGAGCCACAATGGGGGGATGAACAGGATGTCGCCTGGTTTCAGGATCGCTTCGTGCGGCGAGGTGTGCGGAATCGAAGCGATGCGTCCGTCAGTCATATTCTCGAATATATCGATCGTAGAGCTTGATGCGCCCGCGGGCAACTGCAGGTACTGTACGTCGGATGGAGGATACAGAATGAGTCGCTTTTGGCCTTGGATCTGGCAGAGGACGTTCGCCATGACCTGTAACAAGTTGTCAGTATCTGGCTCTCCCATATAAAAAAAAGATTGCTTCGATCCATGTCTTACATCGTAATGGAGCCACATCGTAACAGGCCCGGATATCCGCAGTGGAGAGCTGTGGGCGTTCTCCTCGGCGAACGCTAGCTGGGAAGGAAGATGGAAGTCATTTTTCAGCTCGGGGAAGTCCTCAGCCAGGTTGGCAGGGAGTTTCGATGGCTGATCGGCCGAAACCGAACGCAGATACTGGCGACTCCCGGCATACACTTCGTCCAGAAAGGCGCCGAAATCCTTGGTGACATAGGAGAAGTTCTTCTTCTGAAAGTTCATGTGCTCCGAGCGAGCCTCGTGGACCACAACCTAGACAATTCCCTGTTTTAGCACATCAAAAAGTGGCTATTATCTGACAATTCTATGTGCTCATACCTTGCGGTCGAAGCCAACGGTTCTGGTCAAGTAGTCTTTCGTCCAGAGCTCCGTGCAGCGTCCCAGGTCGGCTTCTGGAATGACGACCGGTCTGGACTGCGCAATGACTTCTTGAAACTCCTCGGGAGTTCTGATGGCTCGCCGTGGAATCTGTTTAATTTCGTTCATACTTGCTGGCTCCTGGAGGCTCGGCTGGGGCGTCGGCTTTGGTGTGTTCTCGTCTGGTGCTGCCGGTTCCCGCAGCATGGCCCATCGATTGTTGCGGTCGGATGTTGCGTCCTGCAGCTGCCACGTGCCGTCATTCCAAAAGGTCCCAAACGAGAAGCATACTGCGCCGCCGCCCACCACCAGGACCTCTGAAGGACTTGTAGCGCACGAGACATGGCCGCTCAGGAGTGGACGGGGTCCGCTGAATTCGTGCCCCAGACCAACAGCGGACAATATAGTTTCAGTCCACGGTGTATCAGAGGCCCGACAGCGTATCAATTCCTGTGTGTTGAGAAGCATGATCTCGTAGTCGGCAGGCACAACGCCCTGCATACCAATGCCACCGATTATCACCAGACCATAGGTAGTCATGTTAGCTGTTGCTCCGAACCGGCCCACGAATTTGGCCAGAGGCGTAGCAGCCTGAAAATTCTTGCTCTGGTCAATTAATTCTAGTATCTTTGATCCATCACCGCGCTCAGATACCGTCCACGTCCAGAAATCGTCCAGAACTATCCCGTCCTGTGTCATGCCTCCAAACAAAACCCCAGAACAACCATCGATACTTTCCATGCACGCCCCAAAACGTGCAGGAGGGCTACCGCCAGCTACTTCAAGTCTCTGCCATCCAATTCGACCATGCCAGAGCAACCAGTCGTTCAGAACGTCACCTTTTTCAGTCTTGCCGCCGTAGACCAGAACGCAATCCTCTTTGTCGCTGAGATGCAAGCGGGTCGCACAATGTCGGAAGCGAGAGGAGGGAAGAGGATGACTCTCTGTCCACACATCTCCCTCCCTAATCCAGCAGTCGCTCAGGGCTGCCGTAGGGGACGTGCGACCTCCAACAAGGAGACAATCATCGTCGCGCAGCGCTGTTACCGTATGGCACATCCGCGCAGGGATTTTCGGTGGGGGTAGAGGCCGGACCGGGACCTTGACACTGTCAGAACTGGTGTAGACGTCTGTTGATAATAGACGGGATTTGCTCCCCAGCCCGCCGTGCACACCAAGCGACGTGCTGCTATCCGGAATAATAGCACCGTATCGTCGCTGACCGCTGGAAGGTGCATGGAGAAGTCTCAGGGGGAGGCGGTGAGTTGTTTGCAGGTCAGATGAGGATAGCGTTTGCCTCGAGCAACCGTTATGGACACCTTCTTTTGTAGTAGTAGAAGCCGAAAGGAGGAAATAGTGTGAGGCAAAGAGCGCGAACTCTTCCCATTCATCGAATGCCTCGACTTTATCCAGAGAGAGTCGCTGGGAACTGCTGAGGAAAGAGTTGTCATTCCAGACATCCTGTAGACTCCGTGCGCATGCCTGTCTCCAGCCTGCATCGATAAAGCGTTGCTCCTGAGCGCTCAGAGACGGATACTTGTGAATGGAATGGAGAGGCGCCTGGAGCTTGTTGAAATGCTTCATCATAGTGACAGCGAAGGGGTGATCTGGTCCATCTGGGAAGAACTGTTCTAAAAGACAGAATCGGACGTCTTTACACCTGTTAGCCTGCGTTCTGTTCCAGCTTCAGATCTCACAATTCCGCTCTGACCTTCACCAAGGGTTGGTATCCAGGAGATGAGCGCATCGGCAGATTCGACATCCATGTAAGTCAGGGACACTTCGGCGATGCAAAGAATTGAAGACGGAGAGGTGCCAATCTCGCTCTTCAGTGCTTCCTCCAATTTCTTCAGGTTTTTTAGGTCGCAACCAATGCCAATGTAGTGCATGCTGCGCACCAGCACGGTGCTCTGTTCGGGGAACACCTCCACATCCCCAAGAAGATCCCTCAGTTCCTTGGTCTGCCGGATCACGTTCGTCTTCGTGGCCATCAGCTTCTCGTAATCGATATCCACGAACGTCGCATTTCTACACCGGGATTGTTCGCCGCTGAGGAACTGAAAGGGAAGCGGGTCACTACGATGATTGCCTTAGCCTACGTCTCATTATCTGACAAGTTCTCAGCTATCCACTCACTAGCCACATCCCAGGTTCACAACAAATTTGGGGTTATGCGATGGTTCCTCCAAGAAACGCCGAACGGTCTCTGCAATGGCATGCATGCGCAGCCAGTATCCTCGATTGATCAACGGGGCACGCCTTTGGGGCTTTTTCACGAAGTACCGGAAGAAATGGGGCTGCGGGTAGTAACGGAGCTCGACGCTGCGCTTCGACACGATACTGCTGTTATTCGTCTGACGGTCGTCAGCGAACTATTATCGATCTGATCTGGAGGTTGAGACGGGGGGAAAGGTCGCATTTACCCCCATGACGAGGTCCGCCTCCCTCTCTGCCTTCGTACTCGCCCCCGCCATGGCTGATTTTCCCGTTGACCCCATGGCTGCTGGGTGTTCTGTCACGGCTGGCTGTTGTGCGCAAATCTCCATCGGCGGCGGAACGCAATCAAGGTGTGGTCCAAGCGTCGGTGTCGGTGGAGCCGCGCGATTGCAGCAGAACAATCTAACAACACCGCCACACGCGTGAACATCCTCTTGGTGTCACCTGGACCGTCCCTGCGAAGGCCCCCGGCTGAACGCTGCCTAATCCCCGGGTTCCCCAGACATGAGGCTCCTTCTCTCCATCTTTCTGCTGTAAAGCACCTCATTTTCCTCCTGAACACCCGGCGTCTGGTCTGTTATGGGCCCGTTGCGTCCCCTCTCCCCGGTTGATTGGTGAAGCGGGGTACCTTAGTAAAGCAGAGCGTCACCCATCCTCCAGAAACATTCTGCGCTGGAGCCGCCATCCTCCATAGCATGCACTCGGCAAGATGTCCATGAACTTTGTGACGTTTAACCAGGACTACAGCTATTTGGCTGTGGGTATGTGATCTGGTCCTTTCTAGCCATGCGACTGCTCACCCTTGCCAGGCACTTCGAAAGGGTTCCGCATCTTTACGACAGATCCCTTTGCCAAGAGCTATGAAACCAAGGAAGGAAACATAGCAATCCTAGAGATGTTGTTTTCAACATCTCTAGTGGCGCTGATTCTGTCGCCCCGCCGGCTTCAAATCACAAACACCAAGGTCAGTCGTCTTGGTTTCTCTGTACTTTTTCTAATGAGGAATCGATTGTACGGCATATTCTCAATGCAGGATGTGAAGTTGACTGTGCTATAGCGGCAATCGACCATCTGTGAACTTACGTTTCCGACCACGGTGCTAGCCGTGAAATTGAACCGCAAAAGGCTGGTCATTGTCCTCGAAGACCAGATCTATCTCTACGATATCCAGACTATGAAGCTTCTGCATACCATAGAAACGTCTCCGAATCCAAATGGTAGGTCTCGATGCTGCTCGTCTCTTCCTGGTTGATTCATCTCCTGATCTCCCCTGCAGCCATCTGTGCGTTGTCGCCGTCTTCCGAGAATTGCTATCTTGCATATCCACTGCCGCAGAAGGCTCCTCCTTCTTCATTTGCGCCTCCTGCGCATACACCCCCGGGGAGCATGCATATAGCGCCCACGAGCGGGGACGTCCTTATTTTTGACACGTTGAAGCTGGAAGCCATCAACGTTGTCGAAGCGCATCGATCTCCGTTATCATGTATCACATTAAACAGCGAGGGCACGCTTCTGGCTACTGCGTCAGACAAAGGGACGATCATCCGAGTGTTTTCGGTCCCGGATGGTCACAAGCTTTATCAGTTCCGACGAGGATCCATACCCTCGAGAATATATAGCATGTCATTCAATACGACCTCGACTCTTCTTTGCGTTTCGTCTGCTACGGAGACCATCCATATCTTTAAACTGAGCAACCAAGGCTCATCTACTGAGGGAGGTCCCGGTTCACCTACCGGGGAGAGAGCCCTCAGTCAAAGTTCTTCCGGCTATTCGCCCACGGGAGAAGACTCGGCTGGCGATAGAGAAGTGTCGGACATTGCATCAAGGAAGCACAATGGGACACTGATGGGAATGATCCGGCGGACCTCGCAGAACGTCGGAAGCACCTTTGCGGCCAGGGTTGGAGGGTATCTCCCGAAGGGCGTGAGCGAAATGTGGGAGCCGGCCCGTGACTTTGCCTGGATTAAACTCCCCAGGTCGGCCCAGGGACACGGTGGAAGTGCGAGTTCGGGTCCAGTGAGAAGTGTCGTGGCCATGAGCAGCAACACGCCTCAAGTCATGGTGGTGACGAGTGAGGGTAATTTCTATGTCTTCAACATTGACCTCTCCAAGGGGGGAGAAGGCACATTGACGAAACAATACTCGTAGGTGTTCCTTATTCCTTTCTGATTGGAATTCAGTTTACTAACGGATGGTTTCCGATTAGGGTGCTTGATACCAATGACAAACTTGGAACATCCGCGATGGATTATTATTGACTGTTACGAGTTTCTGTCTTGTTGATCTTTTCGTTCTTTAGCAATGGTGCATGTCTGACGCAGGCGCATTATCTATTTCGGCATTCTGCTCTCGGAGTCTTGGGGCAATTCATGTTTTGGGACGGTAGGCTCTGCTTTTTGTTTGTCTGTTCGTTAATGAGTCTTCGCTGTATGATGCGAACGTGATGGACTTGGCTAGTCTCGGTTATTTCTTGGGGTTTGTTGAACCGACATCCTTGCAGTCATGAGAATGGCATCCTTTGAGCGATACCTTTGGAGCAGTCGAATTTTTAATCCCTGGATCTCCTCTTGAAATTAACCTGTTACGCACTAGCCTGTGGACGCAACGTAGATTTTCTCTTCTGACAGTATCGTTCAGAAAGGGGGAATCTGTAGATAAACCGGAGGGTAGTTTGGCATGCGGAGCTTTTGTCTGTTCTCTTCCCTATCGGGAAAACCCAATCTTTTTTCTCTCTGGATATTTACCCTCCTGACTACTGGCGATAGGTTTGTGAGACACGTTACATACCTAAGACCCTCGAGGCTCAGTTGCTAACGAGTCGTAGCTTTGCACAAAATACTCCGTATCAGCGCGATGTGTTTGGGCCAATGCAGGCGTCCGTGACAATTCTCCTTGATTCACATGCCACATTCCTGTACTGTCCAGATATACTACCTATCATCTGACTTCTATCCAATGGACTTCTCCCTCAGCAGCCACTGCAGCTCCTTGGCCTCTTCTGGAGTCAGAAGTTCGTCCAGCGTCTTGGCCTGCATGAAATCGTGGTCTGCAAACTCGAAGCCAGGGACGACAGTCTTGCACGACGGTACCATCAATAAAACTGACCAGACCACAAAGTAAAGAAGGCGTAGATTACATACCTCACTGATCAATAACCCCTCCGACTTCTTGCCATCGTCATTATCGTCATCGGGCAACAAGAAACTGGCCTTGTACTTGCCCCCCTCCACGATCCACTGCAGCCTCTCCCCTCGGGCGATGTCATGCCCGACGACGAAGGACTCGATCCGAGCCTTTCCGTTCTGGGCAGCTCGATCGCCGCGCAGCACCTCGTCTGCGTGGATCAGCACGTAGCGGCCGCGTCCGCGGTGGAGGGTATGGACGGTGCGGCCGCGGTTGCGATGGAAGACGCCCAGCGGTGAGCCCGGCGTGAGATAGTAAAAGATGGTCGTGCTGGCGGAGCGCGTGGAATGGTCCTGCCCCGCGGCCAGCCGCGTGGTCGACGTCACATCAGTCGCGGGCACCTCGTACGCCGTGCCCGGGTCTTTATTAGTGAGGAATGGATTGGGGATGTTGAGAGGATCGCGATCGGTCTCGACATAGTAGCCGCCCTCGACGTGCGGCTGCAGGTGGAGGATGTCGATGGTCTGCTGGACGGCCGGCGGTTCTTGCTTGGGGCCGACCCCGCGGGAGGGAGGGTAGACGGGCTTGATCTGCGAGAGGGGGACGTCTAATTGATGGGCCATCTTTTTTTTTAATTTTTTTTATTCATGTCTTCTTTTATAATCTGTTTCTTCTGTCTGCATCGTGAAAATAAAATGTAGAATGGAGGCAGAGTTGCAATCGGACGGAGACCGACAGACGATAAATTTTTTGTCTAAGGACTATCAGCTGATAAGTGTGCTCAGCCTCAGCAACCTCGCACATGCATTCATATCAGCATCGTTGCCTAAGGTGATGTAAATACAGCCAAATATCAAGGTCCAGAGATGGAGGTCAGTATGTATAATATTTCGTTGAAGGAATAATAAATAAGCGCCTAGCTACACCCCCTCTTTGCAGATGCTTCGTTTACAGACGCTACAGTGAAGGACAGCATGCGCTGCCAAGCAAGCAATTTAATCCACATGGATCTCTGCCTCGTGGCCGGAGCATTCCAGTCGATGCGCGGACAAATAACAGGCTCCCCAGACTGTTGGTGGCAGGCCAGCAAACCTAAGCAGATTGCTAGAATTAATTAACGTAATCAACCACCGAGCGACGAATACCACCGAGCGACGAATTTTCCTCCACCCTACCACTTCCTTTTTTCAACGCGTCATTTTATCACCACCACTATCAAAAATGCCTTTATCTCAAGAAAACCGAATTCAAATGGCTATTGCAGCTTATAAAAATCAAAAAGTCAAATCAATACTGAAGGCTGCAGAGATTTTTGGGGTGCCTGAGGCTACCCTTCGCGCTCGCCTTAAAGGAAGACAACCACGCGCAGAAACACGTGCTAATGGCCAT